CCGTTTATTCTGATCCGGACTTGTTGGGTGGGGGGGGGGGTTTATAATCAGAACCCCCCATTACTGTACGTAATATGTGCATACATCAAAAAGGTGCTTCTCAAATGAATAGAATGCAAGCTTGCGATTCCAAAGCGTGTAGGCGTCATTCTTAATTTTGAGAAAAATCCCACATGCTCCGCCCCAGCTACAGCCTCACGAGCTGCAGCAAAGGACGTACCAATGCAGGAGTGCTGCGATGGCCTAGCTGGCTTTTTCAAGCATGATTTGTCTGCAGGTCTCCATCAGAAGTGTCCTCTATAATGTTCAGAAACTACCCACGTCACATCTCACTATTAGGAACGCTTTTTGGCTTGGGCCATGGCTGTTCAGCCGTCGAGTCCGCCCCTGCGGGTTAGACGTCACCATTTGTTGCAGCCAGGAAGTGGACAACGAGCTTTGGGACAACTTCTCTTAAGGTTGCTGTGTGGTGGCTACGGGTGAGTGAGGCTTGCCTGAGAGGTCTCCAAAAAATCAAGAACTTCGGATCTAGATTCCATGGGCAAGGAAAAGCCTTGGAACACAAAGAGTGGAATGCCGTGAGTGCCATGCACTTGCACGTCTCTCATCAACGCACCCTTCATCACTCTGCATGTCAGAGGCGAGTCCTTGCCTTGGGAAGGCTTGTGAGGCCCACGCTGCTCCAAGAAAGCAGCGTTTGCTCTGCCTGTTGGGGAGGAATTTTGTGTCAAGGATCTGTTTGCGATTTAAGCGGCAACTACTTCTTGCTCCAAGAGCCTGGGCTTGCAAGTGACATCTGAAAGAAAAACAAACAAGGCCGATGCAGATGCGTCGCTGGGAGTGTGCGTGCAAGAGCCTGACAAGCAAGCAAGCTCATGCTCCCTCTTGACTTGAGCACGATAACGTGGGTTTGGCTTTAGTGGCGAGTCAATCAAATCTGCAGCACACACGTGGGTGGGGCTAATGAAGAGCCTCATGATGCTAAAGATTCAATTCAAAGGAAACACTTGGGACGCCAAGAAGCCACATGCTGGCATGCCCAACTGGGGTCTACAACTAATGCTACCATGCCACCGTACCAGGGGCGTACCGTCTACACCAAGACATGATGCTAGCTAAGGATGCGCCTGAAGTGCACAGGAAGGCGGACTCTGTCATCTGGTCCCAGAACCAACCACTGGTCCTCACCCAAGTTCCATCAAGGAACCCTGCTGCAATCCCTCTACCACACAATGTCTCCAAGCTACTTCAGCAAAACGTGTCACCTGCCCCTTTGTTGGCCTCGTCGCGGTTGACATTTTCGGTAGCCTCCGCACAGGGTACTCTTCGTCGCAACTCCATGGAAATTACTGCTGGCTTCCAGGAACGGACCAGCTTTGCAGACCTCATGCTCCTCCGACAAGAGGTTGTCCTCAGCCTCATCATCCTCAAGATGTACAACCTCCATGCAGCTGTGTGGATCTGGTTCCAGCAGTCCAAACTGATTCATGACACGCGCATTCAGCAGGAAGCCTCAGGGAAGATATCATCCCACTCAATCGGCCCAGTCCCTCCCTCTGGAGGTCGCTCCACGCGATCTGCTGCAACGCGGAAGCTGAGCTTGGTGCCCTGACTCAAGGACATCTGATACCGTCTGACCACACATATTATGCTATTATATTCTGCCTCGTCCGGACCCGCATGTTCCTCTGCATCTTTCTTACGCTCACCTCGCCAGACCTGTCGGGCTAGCAAAGAAGCCACAAGCCCGCATTTGTCGCTTAGCCAAGCGCCTGCTCCCATGCGTCTGGTCTCTCAGCACAAGCCCTCGCAAACTTGAGGCGTGTTGAGTACCTTGCATGCAACCATCTCGAATTCCATGTCCAAGCGACGCGAACTACAAAAAACCTTTATCTGAAAAAATCAGTGCTTTGCATGCCTTGGTAGCCAACTTCCTGATGAGTTTCCGTCAGTCTGCTGAGGTCATTTCATGGAGCCAACTTTGCTGAAAGTTATGAGCGCCCTTATGGCAAGCTGCCCCATGTTGCTTCTGCTGGAAGGTGCGCAGTTCAGAAGCAGAACCCTTGCAGGAAAGCCGGAACAGACTTGCAATGACTGTTTGCTCTCCAAATCACGAGCCGTCCTCTCAACCAAGCTGCATGTTGCCAATGTCCCGCATACACTCCGCCTTGATCTCAGTGATGTTCTCCGGCTCCGAGCCAACAATCTCTCCACAACGCTCACACATCACCAAGGCAGAATGTAGCAAATACTCCTCAAGCAGAACGACTAAGCCAATGATGTAACAAAAGTGTCAATGTCATGATGTTGCTCTGGCGAGCATCCTGGAATGGAGCTCTTGCCAACATTAAACACAAAGCTACAGATAGCCTGGTCGACGTTGCAACATCTTATATACAAGCATCACATGCTGACCTTGTGGCTGCCGCCTGCCGCCATGCTTCGGCCGTCCAGAACATGCCATCGTTGATGAAGAAATCAGAAAGGGCACAGCAGTTCCTCTGCAAGACGTTTGTCTTGTAAACCGTTCTCGAAATTACGCCATTCACGCAAAGTGCAGCAGAGACCAGCAGCTGTTGCCAGCCTTATCCAATCCTTGGAATCGAACGGGTCCCGCTCGCTGATCTCTCGGCTGCGATGACCATAGGAGTTGGACTTCAGGGAGAAAGGCCAAGCGACCACAAAAGCGAGCAATGTGCGGCAAGGCGATTGATATGTGCCAAAAGCTGAGTGTTCTGTGGGATGTACAACAAAACCTTTGTGCTGCGTGCTGGATTCGACACATGTTGCAATAGACCATATGTGGTGGCATGACAGAATAATGTATCTTCGAGAGTCTACTGGGCAAGTCACTTTCCCTACTGGCAAGTTGGGGCTCAACTATCTGAAGCATAATGAGAGGAGCTCAAGACACAGCCTTAGGAATGCGGGAACGGGTCAGCATGACTGGGATGCTCTCACAAGCTTACTTTTCAATCATGGATGCAAGAAATGACCTTCTAAATGGTTGACGCTTCAATTTCTTACTTCAGGTGCAGAGCGGTGCGACACCACTTAAGCTGCAAAGCAGCTCCTCCAAGCAAGACAGTGGCTTGCAGACTGTGTAATTTCCCTTTGCTCAATGCAGAGATAGCACAGAAGAAACACATGCTATAGAAAGTGCGCAGATTGATGGACTTTGAGGTTTCGGCAACCAACAAGTGTTCTAGCAAGTGCTATGGTTTCCGCTAGTATTTGAACCACGGCCTCAAGCTGACGACTCATGGTCTCCGCACAGAAGCGTGCAGAGAGCGCGGGCTTTTGTAGCGCTCCATAGGCCTGAGCCAGATAGAACCTTGCAAGGAGGCCAGGGCAAAGCTGCGCAGCATCATCAAACGCACAAACTGTGCCGTGTCTTGAATTTGAGGACAGTCGAGAGGCATGGTCATGGTGTAATTGTTCTCACAGCGCTCCTCGAAAGCATCTCGTACAGACTGGGGCCGCCTCATGTACATAACCTGCGCCCTGCGCAAGAAGTTCATCCCCTCCTCGGTAGCTGCGTCAGACAACTTGAATAAAACATGCATGCTCAAGCGATGCCAAATAAGCACCTGGCTTTATGACCTCCGCGATTGCACCAGAGCATGCCCAGTTGGTTGAATACATCCTGACCCATGTTATGCAAGCCATTCATTTTTTGCTGCCGTAGCAAGTCCCCACCAGCGCAGGATTTGTCACAGGAGGTGCCTGGATGTAGCAGAACGGTTCAGGCTCCAGTCGCAGCGGCGACCGCAGATACCGTTCCAGAGAGCGGATGAAGCATTTCTCAGCCTGTGGGACCTGATTGGCTGAGATCTGCACATTGCTGGCAATGCAAACGCGCGCAGTTGCTTTCAACATGAAATCTCTCCACTCTACAGCTTGTCGCCGAAAGCTTGAAACTCTTGCCTCCTCACAGAAGTAGCAGTTTTTGCCGAGGAATAGAAGAATCCTGCAGATCGCACGCTCGACAAAGAACATGTGCAGCAGCTCAAAAACGATTCAAAAAAAAAGACTTCCCCTAAACACTCAGCCAGCAACTAGAATCTATTGCAGCAACACTTTCACTGAATTAGCCCCAATCGCAGTCAAGCCTGGCGAAAACCTCACAGCCGCGATTTGCAACCTCCTGTGATGGCTCGTCTGCAATCAGCTTTTCCAACTCTTTGACCTGGTCCAACACAGCTTTCCACATTGAGAACAACGAGAAGCAGAGGCGAGTTGAGTCCAGCAGCAGATAGTTCCAGCATCTCGCGGGCAACGTATTTGCTTTTATAAGGATTGTCTTCAGGATCCTGCAGCTCACTTTGCACGTTGCAAGCTTTAAGTCACAAAGTCCTTGCACAGGAAATCCTCCGTCGCCCATAGCTCATCATACTTCTTCAGTGTCTGATTGAAGTCGTTTGACAGGAATTTCCTGGTTCGCAATTGCATGTAAACCAAGAGAAAGAATGTGCCACGACAAACACTGCGCTCACCTGTACTATGCAAAAGCAAGGCTCTCTAAGTTGCTCATGGCCCACGCTGTCACCGCGGATCCAGCTTAATTCCATGCAAACCTCCCGGATCTCACATGCCCGCACACATGCATGGCGTTAGGAGCTCCCATCCCGCTGACAATGATTGTAAGTATCTTGAAAGTTGCGAGCAAAGCTCAGCAAGACGAAGAGTGTTATATTGAAAGCATCAGAAGGGAAGTCTGGTAGCAGGTTCAACCCAAGCAACGATGTGAATGAAAAGATGCAACCAGCTCCTGCATCAGCTGAGGCTGCTCTCAGGCATTCTGCCGCAATGGCATGAGAGATTAACTACAGCCACTCGCAATGACATGTGTAAAGCTTAAAATGCATCGACATGGCGATCGTTGTCTCTGCTGTTTCTGTTAGGATGTTGCCGTGACCTTACGCTGACTCTGAAGCGTTTGGGACGTGCATTGGCTTTAATTGAGGCAGCGCTGTAATCCCCAAAGCATAGAACATAAATAATGGAGCTGTGGTGAATCCAATTTCCAATCGCCCGTAGCAACATGTATGTTTCTTCCCTGCGAGCCTGCGTCAAGCCTGCACAGAAGTCTGCTTTGCCCGCTTACCAGAAGCCAGGTACATGGGGAAGATGCGTGTGTTTTGTTTCTACTTGGGACCATGTCCAAGGCAGCCCTCACCCAAGGCGATAGCTACAGGTTAGCCTTCAACAATACAGTTGAACAGGAATGGCACGCGGACACAAACAGCAGCCCTTGCAGAATGCTAATATGGACAGGATTTGGCAATGAGCAAGAGCCGACATGATTCGCCCCAGATGCGTCCGCTGCAAGGACCAGACAATCTTGCGCAGCTGAAGTACTCTGGTGTGTCATGAAATTCCAAGCAGCCCGAAACCCCGAGCGGCACGCAAGATGTCGTAGCTTCTTTTGTACTTTCCAGGTGCACGCTACCAGGTTGGTGCAGTCAGTCCACGGAACAACTTTGCGTGTCCGGTGGACCTCTTCAACGCAGTAAAATGGAGCAGCAACACATCCATCACCATGCTCGGTCCCAGGTCTGCATGGGTTGTCCATGCAACCATGGACACAACAAATTCTGCTGCAGCCTCAGCATGCATCACCAGGGCCTCGGATGGACTTCCTCTGCAGAATGATTCATTGAGCTGCACTTCAGAAGCTAAGGACCCTGCCCACTCCCCAAACGTGCCCGGTCAACAGCTGCCAAGGCAGCACCTGCCCAAGTCCCACAAGCTCTCGAAGTCTCTGAAAAAAACAAACAATCCTTACTTCTGCCAAGGTCTTGTCGCTTCCGAGTTCTTTCTGGGAGGCTCCAAAGGGACCCACGTACTCACCAACTGCTAATTCTCACACCTCCTCTGAGAGAAGCGTGCGAAGCTCCTGGAATCCAGATAGGGGTTTCTAAAAAGTTGAGGCTCGATGACAGCAGGGTCCTCATCGGTCAGCTTCCAGAACTCGTGCTGTGCCTTCTGGATCCACCGCTGACAGAAGCACAGGACCGAGGGCGAAGGGCACTTGGTTTCAAGAAGTCGCTTCCAGGGGCTGGGCCTCTGAAGATGAACACCTCGAACTGCGAAGATTTGCAACCCAACCTCTATGGAACATAACCCAGCTCCACACCCAGAGCTTCGGTGCAAGAACTTTCCGAAGCCGCCTCAGGGGCTCTGCCGGTGACAGAGAGTCGCTTGTGCCGGCTGTTCTGGTTGTTTCGAGGTCAAGTGGATGGTGCAAACAAAGCTCTCTAGGCCAACTCGGCCATTAGAGCAGGACGAAACAACCCTTGCAGAAGAAACACTCCAAACGTGCACACACACACACACACACACACACACCTTGGACCTGCTGCAGAGAACAAGTCCCTGAGTCGCTTGCTTGCTCTGGCTGGTTGAGATGTGATTCCGAGGACCTGGGTCAACCATGACTGGTAGTGGCCTTTGATGACAAGCACCTTCAACTACAAGCTGAATCGAATTCATGCACAGCGTTCAGGCGGTAAGCAGCTAGCAGCATCCATTTGGCCATCTACTTGACGAGCCAAGTAAATGACAATCGACCTGAAAGGCAAGCGAATTATGGCAGACCACTTTTGCATCAACACGCGGATTGCTGTCATTCTCTTGTCTAGTCAACTGCAACACTTGGATGCAACACGCACGCTTCTGCTTAGCAATGGACCAAAGCGCCTTAGTGTCAAGAACGTCTTACGGCAGGCAAGTGCCAGATCCACACATTGCTGCCGGCTTATCGCTTGTTTTCCACACTTTGCCACGCTGCTGTATATAGCCCGGGACAACAGCCTGCCCAGCAGCAGGCGGCAAGTGAGTTGCATAAACTTGCCATCGCGCCACATGCCACTCGCACAGCGGCACTGCTGCTCTGAACATTTCACACAGAGGCCATCTTCTGGCTCTTGACTTCAGAAGTACGCACATGAGGATCATCAGAAGTGTAGGGAGAAGGCGAGTGCCACCTTGCTGTTACAAATCACTGTCGTAGGTGCTCCTTTGAGGAGCCCTCTGCTGGGCAAGGCCTCTACAAGTCACAAATAGGAACTAGGGAACATCCGGGAAAATCGCATCCCTTTCCTCCAAGAAAGCTCTAGGCTACGTTTCTCAAAATGCACGCTGAGTAAGTCTTGAAAACTCTTCTTCTACGCAAAGCGGAAGGTTGATTTGAGAAATGCAGTAAGGTCCCAAAGCACTTCAAGAGTCAGCATCGCGAGTCGGAACTACTCTTGTGGCAGGCTCGCATGCCCAGCTGTGCAGTTCACTGAAAAGTCACCCGTCATATCCTCCGGCAAACATCAGGAAGGCTGCGCTACTGCGGGTGCTGCAAGTCCCTGCCTCCAAGTCTTCATGCAACATGCTTTCTTATGGTTCCACACAGCACCGCTGGCCTGGCAAACATTGGCAAGTGACAAGTGACACAATGACGCACTAAAGGCTGACAAGCAGCTTGTAGCAAGGGAGATACCCGAGTCGCGGCCAAGATGTGCAATCAAACACGTACCTTGTCAGCAGAAGCTAGAGCCAAACGCAGGTGCACTCTGGCCCATACAGGTATGCTAACAAGTAGGCCCCGCCCTGCAGAAGGCGGGGCAAAGCAGAAAGCAAAAGAAAATCTCAGATCCCAGGAACGACCTGCGCCACCCAAACAGAGAGCAAGGCAGCAGCGGCAAACGCCGCACACACGAAGGGCAGGGCCAAGTCAAAGCCCCCTTCCTGGCCCAGGGTACAGGCAGGAGCTTCTGCCTCATAAGCTTGAAAATCACTAACAAGCTGTTTGGGTAGTCCTTGCGGCAGGCACCGATTGTAACGGTAAAGGTGGCCTCAAGGAGATGCAGATGAACCAAAATGCCCTCTGCAACCACTGCTGCACATGGCACTGGAGCTGCATTCAGCTGAAAAGCCTGGCCCAGCCCATAGAGTGAATCGAGCAGGCCAAAGGACCTCCCGCAAGAGCCTGAGATGCCATGTTTTTTTTTTTTTGGTGAGTCTCAGCTAGCAGCCAGCAAGCACAATCAAAATCTCGGATCAGCAACGGCTGTTGGCAGGTACCAGTACAAGTGGGAGAACGGGCATAACAGTCGCTGCGACCGCAATGGCAAGAAGGCCTGACGCAAGACAACTGCTTGCCGAAGCCATGTCTGCACAGGTGGAGGAGGCTATTGTGGTCTGGCTCCTGCCTGCTTCCAGCAGTACAGGACAAGCCGCGAACAGCGCCAACGCTCCCACAAAGGGAAGCAAAGAGATGACCTTGACCGAACATGTCTTCCTAGGAGTCTTTTTCCGCAACACACCCGCTGTTACACGTGCCCAAGTAGGACGCAAAGATACCAAGGCATGACGCTGCTAAGCTCCTGGCCACAAGCATGTAGCGCATTCCAATGCAATATCCGGCCATCGCTACAAAGGGCATCAGAAACCTTGCAATCGCTCATATTATGAAGCTTTGCAGCCACAGCCACATACTTAAGCACCAAAACCTACATGATCCTTAAACCACACCGTCGAGTTGTAGAGGGCCTAGGGAGATCAAAGCTGTTCACAAGCAAGAACAACTGGGGTGCAGAAGTCCACTGTCAACATGTTGTGCCATCTGATACCGAGACACAAGGCGATCATCTGATTTGCTGCAACCACAGAACCAGCCTCCACACACCCCAATACAGTCTCTTGCAAGCATGGCCCTTAACTGCGCCCCACGATGGTGGGTGTACAACCTTAAGCCCCCAAAGTGGCTGATTTCTCTAAACCAACCAAACATGGAGATGCAAAACCCCTTCGTGCGTGTCTGCAGCCCCAGCATGGTTGTAGACATCAAGGATTCGGTTCTTCAATCACTTGCAGGGCTGAACACAAGTGCCTCAGTGTGAGTGTGGCCCAAGGAAACAAGCCAGTCGTTGGTGACGGACCTTGGACAGTCAAGGGCGCTAGAAGCTTCCCATGTCAAGTTATTCTGATGTCTGCATCACACGACTAGAGCATTCAAGAATGCAGCGTAATCACGCCAGGACAGCTGCAGCATAGCTCTGGGAGCCGCGCTGAAAGGCATGAAGCACCCCCAGTAGGAGACCACGCCAGAAGCCCAGCAACCAAATTGCCTTTTCTGACTGCAGTTTTTCGTGCGCACAATTGCCGCAGCAATTGTAAGATGCCTCAGAGGAATGGCGTGAAATCAAAGAATTCAATGGATGTTTTAAGATGTTGGACACCCATGTCAACTGTTAAGGACCTAAGGAAGGACAAACCCTGTTGCACTGGGCACTGGCAGATTCTGCAATCAAGCAACGGACATGGTGCAAGGACCACTTGTCAGTCCTCAAACACGCTTAACGATCAAGAAGGGTGGCACATCGCGCAAGCGCCAGCTGCATATGTGCAAGTCCAAACCGAATCAGTTTCCTCTCTGTACAAGTTTGGCTTCTATCAGTTCTGCCCGGTGGACATCTCACCTGCACACCAGCGGAAACAATTAAAGATTAAAACACAAGGCACACCATGGCACACCATTCAAAGTACGCCGCCAGGCTTGGTGCAACCTGCGGTACTGGCGGATTCTTTGGACAGAATCTCAGTTCCCTCCGGCCCCAATCATGGTTCATGATTTGGGAGGTAATTGCTTAGATGTTCCTGGATATTTACCAAGTATTCCTGTATTCCTGTCCATGTAATATTTGGAGGCTGAAGTTGGCAGGTCGCCAGTCATGAAAAAGGAAAGGCCTAATTGCAAAATGAAGTTAGCAAGATCAGCAGCAGTCCGCGGTAACATCATGTTGGAACTGCTCGACCATGGCGGTCAGTTAACAGCAGAGTGGCTTTCCAACTGCTCACAGAATTTGCCAAGCCAGGAAACAGCAGCCTTCTTTCTCCTTGCTGCGTAAAACTTAACCGAAAACAACACCCCGCCACTCTGGAAAGCACTCAGCTTAGTTAGTTCAGCATGGCCTGGCACCACGTGGTCATGCAACTTAAAAACCAGGTCCGGCCAACCATTCCGATTGAAACGCTGAAACACTGGAACGCTCTAGAAGCTCTTTCTTCAGGCTTCCTAACTGTCTAACTGTACATCCAGCAGGCGAGCGGGCTTCAGGTAATCAACTGATCCCGACGAGGTCGGAGTCGGATGCCAGTGACGCCTTACCCTTTTTTATGCGTATCTCGCCATGCTTTCCCATGCATGGAACAAGTGGAGGGACCAGGAAGTTCTTCACGGTCTATTCACCTGCGCCTCCGCTGGATCATCTCCGCCCTGTGCGCCATCTGTGCCTTTGCGAACCCCTTGCGGGGCTGCTCGAGCAGCAGGACCAGGAGATATCACTACCCTTTCGGTCAGCCTCCCTTTTAACACAGCACTTGGAGGCTCGAGGCCAAGAGCAGAGGTTAGGCTTCGCTTAGCCGGCCACGGCGTCCACGGTTCCATTTGGCAAGATATGCGTGCCTAGTCCTACATAACAGCTCGCCCTTGATTCGCGAAATCGCTGCCAACGAAAATCTTACTGCTTAAACAAGCCAAGCCAGAATGAATTGCACTTCTCTGCATACTAACCAGACTTCGTCTCAGATCTTAAGGTCCTGCTGGCTTTGGGATGGCTTCCTCCTCGACCGGAGTTTCCACGTCCTCCTCATCCAGAAGCGGGAAGCTGAGTACGCTTGGACTCGGACTCAAAGTTCGCGGTATCCTCGGGAAAAAACATCTGGAAGTGTCTGGGTGATGCCTTGTTGGAGAGACCAAACTCTACCGAATTCAGTTCTGCTTCCGTGACGTTGCAGGGAGGCTCAAGTGTGGTGACCAGTGCTTAGGAATCCTGGTACTGGTAACGTCATGCAAGATGTCTGGACCATCCAAACAATTAAAGCCACTGTGCTGGTCTGGTCCATCAAATGCCTGCTTCCGAAACTCACTGAAAGCACGGGTTGCTCGCTCTCTGCGATACTTCCTCCTTCCCTCACTCAACAGAAGCAGGTTGCAGGAGGAGGGGTTCCTGTAAAAAAGACTCATGCAGGGCATATCCTCAGCTCATCCTCTTCATCCCGACAGCAACACAACCCCTCCGTACCCAGGAGCGGGGAGTGCGGCGTCGGCGCTGGAAGCAGTGACCAACAGCAGGCGAGTGAAGATGCTGCTGCAACCTTGATTATGCTCATTAACACGACTCCATCCAGCCTCCTTGCGTTACATCGATCCAAAAGTCTGACCACGTCAAGGGCAGGTAATGAGGACTGAACATTGAAACTTTCTACATAGAGTGGCATACCCGCGGCATACCCCCTACATGGCCCTCCCAAGCACTCCAGATCTTGGTTCCTGAACAGTCCGTATGACTACGCTGACGTCTGTCCTTGTATGCAAGATCTAAGCCGCAAGCGGAAATCAAATTCGGCGCGAGCAGGGCCACCTGAAGACCAATCAATCCTGTGCTGTCGAGAACCTTGGTCAAAGGGTTGATCACAAGAAAAAACATTGCTACGGGCCCCTTGCAGAAGTCCTCTGACTGTTCTAGACAGGCATTCTCTCTTGTTGCGGTCAAGGGAACGCGCGGCACGGACCAATTGCAACCGGCCACAACCACATGTCCAAAGAAGATCATGAACACGAACCCCATAAGGAGCCTCCACCAGGTGAATACGTTCAAATCAGCTGTCGTTCATGCCGCTTCGGCACACATTTTGGCCACTTCAGGGCTCATGGAGCCACTGCCTTCGAGTCGGCATGTAGTCCTACTGTGCATTGCATGGTGTGCAGGGAGAACAAAGGTTTATTCCGTGCACGGCCTTTGGTGCACAGGTGACAGACTCAGCAGTGTGGGCGACTCCCATACTTACACGGCGTGGTAACAGCCTACGGCAAGGGTCTGTCACCAGAACTCCATGTCACACACCGTGAATTATTCCGTGCGCCGCTAGAGACACTGTACAGCGCGGCGGCTTTAAGATCTTCTTGGAAAACACTTGTCGATGCAGCCGACTGCTTCTTGTTTGAAGCGGCATGGGCACAAAGCTAAACGCCACTTTGTCCCCACTAATGGCCTCACATTGCACTGCAGCACTGACTCTGGGACGGCATGGCCTGGCCAGCGCCAAACATCCAGCACAGCTACATAACCAGCTATTAGGCAAGAGTTGGACCCTCACATCAATAAGAGAATGAGGTTGCGTTGCCACCTGCGGGGGCTTTGCTGTGACACGCAAGACCCTAAATCCCAGCCTAGCCCCGACACAATCCCCAAGTCTAAATCCAAAACTGTACTGTAAACCCTGAACCCCAAGCGAGTCCTAAAAGTCTGACCCCGGAATACCCCGATGTCCCAAACACCTAGACCGTAAAGACTCCAGACTCTAAACTCCAAGCAAACCAAACCCTGAACACCCTACACTCAAAATGCTGTATACCCACATAGACCTGTGAAAGGAGGGTTCAGAGGAGGATTGCGGATGTTTTTAGAATGTTTTTTTGGATTGAGTCATCTGGGATAGGTCGAATTCAGGGTATGTGCAACTTGGGGGTGCCTAAATCGCTTTCCTGCTTTCTCTACAGGGTTTTTGCACGTTCCTTGTTTGCATTTTTAGCCGAGCCATGCTGTTCACCAACTCTCAGAATGTAATTCATGCATGTCCACGCCACCAAGATAGACAACGTGAACGCTTTTACTTTTATACTTTGACGCCAACTACACCCGAAACAAGGCAGCTCCTGAATAGAATAGAATGGGATCAAAACGTCACACAAGAGATCAAAATCACGTGGCCTGGACTCCCATATCCTGAAAAGGTCGTGACAACCACGAGTTTGCTGTCGTTTAGGTCCTAGGGGGGCATGCGCGTTTCGTGCTGAGGGTTGAGGAATTGGGCTTAAGCCCCAGGACTTTGCCAGCAGAAAAAAACGAAACAAAAGACTCGAAGCCTAGACACCTGGAACCACAGATCAACCATGTCGCCCCTACACGTCTTATGGCAAAAGAATCATCATTGAATAATCTCAAATACACACCACCCCAACTTGACTTCTTACTATGGTAACAACTCCTGGCAAGCCACCTTTATTCCTTATTGTTGTCCCCTTCTAGCCTGGATCTCCTGCAACATTCGCAGGACCTCCGAAGGCTTGGGTCGTTCCTCTGGCTTCTCGTGCCATGCCTGAGCGTGCGGGTTCCCGTTGCGCCTTTGCTTGTTCTTTCTTGTGGGGTCTTTCTGTGCTTGTTGCTCCTCCCTGCCACAAGTGATATTCAGGGCTACGAAGCAAGCCGCCTGGCGCAGGAGATTGCGAAACCCAGGCTCTTTCACGCCCTCAGAGCAGACGGCCACATCAAGGTGCTGAGCCTCCTTGACCAGGAACCCTAAACTCAGTTCACGGCTTCAAGGCTCGGTCGCGGCACGCGGCCTTCTTTAAAAGCCTCGACGGTTCTTGTTTCTGCGAGACGTTTCCGTAATTCTCTGCCCAGTGAAAGCCTCCATGACGTGGTCAGACGGCTTGTGCGTGCCATCGTTGTCCAAGTGTTGAAACGGACGAATTCCTCGCGCGGCAATGCATCTCTGACAAGCTTCCTCGGTCCTCAGTTACCTGAATAGTCTTCGCTTTGCAGGTGCTCCTGTGCACATGAGCCAAAGTACGAGGCCGAGCGCAAAGACATCGGCCGCAATGCACTTGCCAACCTCTCGCGATTCAGCGTGCGTCTTGTTTTTCTTGGTCCTAGGTATCTTGAACCCCAAGTAGTCACTGAACCAAGCTCGGCCATGATGACCCTTTCGCGGGGCGGGGGGGGGCATGTGGGCCGCATGTGGTCCCCCCCTGGGGTAGAAATAGCTACCGCCACCTGTTTCAGGAACTCGAAGTAGCACCGGTACAATTTTTGCCTGAGGGGGGAGAGGGTGTAATGATGGATTATTGACCACTCTTCCTAGACGTACTAGGAAAAGCATGCAAACGCGTGTCTCACAGGCC